CATTTGCTGCTATGTTAAACTTATATTAAAGTTTTTCTTCATTACCCATTCAAACCGTCTCCAGCCATTATTAGGTATTAATAGATTTATGTAAAACTTTGCCGATAGAGGTCTCACGAATTGCATGAAACTATAGTTGCACCATCTTCAACAAACAGGCTTGTTTAACTTGCATACTAACAATTGGTATTTCATTCCAAGGACGAGGAACTGACCTTAAGGGAAATTGACTTAGCAGTAGAGGTTATACCATGGAAACAACGTTGTCGATTTTCTTCGCGCTGGCTGTGATTTACTTCTCTGGAAATGTAACAGGTTGGTATAACATTGGTAATAATTTTATCGTAATGAACAATTAATATAAGAAAACGTTTTTAATGTAAGAAACAGCCTGGAGTTTAATGGTTGAAATACGATTACACTTAAAAATAGATAAGAAAAACTTTATCCAGAAGTTAATTTAAAATAAAAATATCCTCGTTATTGTCCATTGTAACTGCAAACATGAATATATTTATAAGTAAATATGATCTGATATTAAAAAAACCATCAACATGTTTCGCCTCAAATCAGCCCGATCAACATCAAAATAATAGTGTTACAAAATCCTTTGATTTATTATATTTACCCGTAGATTTATCTATTTATAAACGTATTATGTTTATGTGCATCAATGTAATGCGATTAATACGGACATTATAAACGTAAAGCGTTGAATGGGGTGGAGGGGAGGGATAAACGAATAGAATCACGAATATAACGTTTCTCATAAAATGTTAGATTCACAGTAATTCTATATTCATCACAATTAACCGCTTGTCTTGAATTATAATCATGTAAAGTGATCCCCAAGTGATTATAATTCAAGAATGTAAAGTGATCCCCAAGTTCTTGAATTATAATCGTGTAAAGTAATCCCAAAGTTCTTGAATTATAATCATGTAAAGTGATCCCCAAGTTCTTGAATTATAATCATGTAAAGCGATCCCCAAGTTCTCTTTTTCATAATATAGTATATTTAATTTTTCTTTTTTTGCCAAAACATTTAAAATATTTAATATTAGAGTCGCTTATGAATCAGATAAAAATATGGAATTTATCTGTTTAATGTTTATATAAAAACAAAAACCAACAAGATATTTAAGAATTCCATGCAAAGTGTGTAAAACGTTTATATTGGACAAACGAAACAAATGAAGACTGACTGGTGCTGGACGAAACATGTAAAATGTGTGTTTGTTTTTAGTATTTTATGTGAAAAGTGATTCAGAATATGGCAGTGAGTTTGTTTTTTTTGGGGGGGAGGAGGGCAGGTTCTTTATTTCCAATTTTACTCTTTTATTATTCATTTTTATATATTCAGTTTCCTCTGTCACTTTGAGACTAACTCGTCAACTATACTTGTGCTGTTGTTCTACTCTTTGCTTCCTGACCATTGGCTATTCCTTTACCTTGTGGCTATTCACCTCCACCATGGTTACTTTCTTCAATGTTCTAAAGAAGGTTTTTAGGTGAAAGTTAGGCCAACTACTATTTCTTTTGAAATATTCAGCGATCATATTATGATTTTGCATCAATAAGATATAATAATTGCCATTTAAAGCTTTATCTTTTAGATAGATCGATGTTATTTTATCTCATTTATTTTCGTTGTACTGCTTGTGAAGGTCATTCGTTTAACATTCAGTGTTGGTTAGAGGGATGGACAATGTTTGGCATTGGCTAATGATATAGTAACCCTGGCAACACAGTGGCCATTTATCTCCGTT